AGTTGCGCGCGGCGACCGGCTAGTTTGGCCCGACCGACGAGGCCGCGGTGGCGCTGATCGCTGGGCACATCCCAACGGGCAATTCAGAGCGAGTCGTCGACTTGGGTGGGCGCGGTACCATTGCAACGTCGACAACAGGAGACACGATGATGAGAGTTACACTGCTGGTGACGGTGTTGACGACGACGACGGCACGTCCAGTGATGGGGCCGATGCTGATCACGCCGACGACGATGACGGCGTCCTCGCGTCGGTGATGAAGGCTTTGGATGGAAATCGACATGCGCGCGCGCGGCCGACGCGCGGGAGTGGCCCGCGTGGTGTTATTTGACACGGGTCGCGCTCCTCCCCAGCACGCGCGCAAGGGCGGTCGACTGATTTGGGCATGCGGCGCGGGAGGCCCGTCTTGGAAAACTCAGTGACAATGCCGAAGAACTTATAATTTTCGTACGAATTCGTAAGAGCGCGAGCGCAGGCTTTGATTGACAATTATTGTTGCGAAACCTTTTTTTACATGGTTCCGTTTTTGAAAATGAAACCAACGGTTTTTGATTGATTGCGGCGTGTGCGCGCGACGACGCGCGCGCATGCACTTCGTCCCGATTTTTTGGAAAAGTGGATCTCGCGACCGCACGCGCGCAAAGTGCGTTCGAACGATTTCGACATGCGCGCGCGAAGCCTGTTTGGTATGATGTTATCATAATGTTGAACAACTTGTATCTTTATGAAAAGGAATTCGCGAGAGCGCGCGCAAGCTTTTTTGGAAACTATTTTTTTCCAAAGCATGTGTTTGTTACATGCTATTGGAGACGATTTTGACATCCTTGCGACACCTGAGGTTTTTGAAGGTGTTCGGCGTGCGCGCGCGACGACGCGCGCGTGTGCACTTCGCATGTTTTTTCTGCAGCGGATTTGGACACTTGATGATTTTTTGTGAACGAATGTGCGCGCATAGTATTTCTTGCAGAGGATGACTGGGGCGATCGATACTGGCCTGCCTGGGATGGTAAGGGTCCAAATTTATGATGGACGATGGTGCAGGATCGCATGTACATTGCAATGCGAAAAGCGGTGCGGATAATCCTAGGGGGATCAAATCTATTCCTTTTAAAAGGAGGATGATTTTCGCGCGGCAACCTGTCTAATGCAATCTATGCGGTGCTATCTATGTGGTGCTGTCAGTGTTGTGCAGTTCGCTTGTGGAACTCGCAGTTGTCAATTCCACTGTTCGTGCAATCGTCCCACCCACCCACCCCCAACTTGTGTTGCAAAGCACAAGCGGTGGCGATTGCCATGAGCGCTTGGTGGTGGCTGATGCATCTTTGCGGCCGCGACAGCCCGCGCATGCACTTGCGCGCGGCGACCAGCAAGTTTGGCGCGACCGACGAGGCCGCGGTGGCGCTGACCGGTGGGCGCCTCCCCGCGGGGACTTAAGTGCGAGTCGGCGACTCGGGAGGGCGCGGTATCATGGCAACGTCGACAACAGTAGACACGATGATGATAGTAGCGACGCTGGTGACGATGTTGACAACGACGACGGCACGTCCAGTGATGGGGCCGATGCTGATCACGCCGACGACGATGACGGCGTCCTCGCGTCGGTGAGGAAGGTTTGGGAAGGAGTTCGACATGCACGCGCGGCCGACGCGCGAGACTGGCCCGCGTGTTGTTATATGACACGGATCGTGCCCCCCCAGCGCGCGCACAAGAGCGGTCAAATGATTTGGGCATGCGGCGCGGGAGGCCCTTTTGACAGAATTTAGTGGCATGTTGAAGACCCAACGGTTTTTTCAAGAAGTCGCAAACGCGCGAGCACAGGCTTTGATTGAAATTTGTTATTGCGAGACCATATGTTTTGATATGATTCCGCGACGTTTGGTTTGAAATCGGAGCGTTCGATTTTTGACGGATTTCGGCATGCGCGCGCGACGGCTCACGCGCGTGCGCTTCGTCCAGTTCTTTGCAAAAAGGGATCTCGCGACAGCACGCGCGAGCACGCGCGCAATGGCGTTCGAACAATTTCGACATGCGCGCGCGAAACCCGCTTGGTCGCATGCCATGATAAGGAGGAAAATCCATCTATACAAGAAACATAAGAATAATATTATTTGTTTCAAAAAGAACCCGCAGCGTTTTCTATTCAATTATATTCTATACACATTATTATTAATGGTATTTGTATGCGTAAGTTCAAAGAGCAAGCAGTGTTGTCAAACCGTGTGTTTTTGAACATCCGATTTTCTTTTGGACACTCGATTTTGAAATCCTTACGACACTCACGGTTTTCGAAGGATGTCTGCATGCGCACGACGAGGCGCGCGTGTGTTTTCGTTGATTTTGCAAAGGATTTTAAGAACCCTTAAGTGCAAGTACTGCTTGGGGAATCTGAAGAGAAAGCAGCAGCTTTCATGGATTCCAGATGTTGTCTAAGAAAATCAAGAATATGGACTGGGCACTGGGCGTTTTCTTGGAGCCTTTTTTCTTCGTAGAACTTTCGTATATCTGGACCCAGGGTACTGTTCAAGAGAACGGTTTGAGTGAAGCTTATTTCTTTAGCTCAGAACTTTCTTCACCCTGAGCAGGGGCGTACTGCGGCCATGGATGGCGTGAGCGTTGGTGGCACCAGATGTAGCTTCCTGCTTCCGCAGACGCCCAAACACTGTCCGCATTGACATCCGCAGCTTTGTTGTCGTCGTATTTTTAGAGCTGAGGCGTGTGGGTGTTTGCCTCAAGGTCTGAATGCTGCGTTTCTGGCGCATGCGCAGTCGCGCACGCGCACCCGCCCTTCTTCTTGAAGCCATTGGGCAACCAGCGACATCCCGCCCAGCGAATTTGATAGATCGAACTGCTGGCACTGCGATCGCGACGGTGCCAGCTGGCCCAGACTCACTCCTGCCTTCGTTGGCATCGGCCGCTCGGGGGCTGGGCGCGGCCCCCGTGTTCGAGGAGCGGGTGGCTCGTGTCCGCGCCGCCGGCCCCTTTTGGGACGGGCGCGCCCATATGAGAATCTCGTCTCGTTTTGCCTGCGGGCTGGCATCTCGAGCTGCAGTGCCTCCCGTGCTGCCCGCGACCGGAGCGTTCCTCGGTGCCGCGGCTTGCGAAGCAACGGGGCGGCTTGCGCAGCAGTGCCTGGGCAGGCCGCCTGCCCGATGTGCAGCTTGGGCGAGACTGGGCACTGGGCTCCACCCTGACTGCCAGAGGGTCGGGGCCACTGCCGATCCCGAGGCGATCTGCCCCCCAATGAAGGCGTCTGTGGCTGTGGATGCCAAACGCAAGCGTTTCTTGGCGACTCCCCGAGCGAGTGGAGATCGGCCTCGGCGCGCCCGCCCTGTCACGGTCGACGCCGTTGGCTGCGCTGCCCCGCTGCGCCGCGACCCGGGGGCAAGGGGACGGAGAGCAGGCGCCGTTGTGCGCGCGCCGCCGTGCACGCTAGCAGGCACTGCTCTGTGGCTGTCCGCGAGGGCACGCGCCGCTGTGCGGCGCCGTGCGCCGTTGTCCGCGCACGCCGCCGCAGCTGCGCGCGCGCCGCTGTGCGCGCGGGCTCCTCCGCAGGCAGGCGTGGCCAGCCCGAAGACGAGGGCGAAACTGGGCGCAGAGCGAGCAGAGGCTGTGTGCGCGCCGCCGCGCAAGCTGCACCGGGCCCTCCGCAGGCGGGCGTGGCCGGCCCGAAGACGAGGGCGAACCTGGGCGCAGATTGAGCAGAGGCGCGTTCAGCGAGCGTGTTCCACTGCTCGCGAAGTGCCTACTTGCAAAAAGGTCTCGGCAACAAGCGTCCGCCCCGATGCAATGGATCGCAGATCCCCTCAGTAGATCCAGGCCATTGGCGAGTAGTTGCTTTGCGGCGAGCAGTGGGACGCGCTTGCCTAGCTGTGCGATTGCCGCCGTGCACGCTGCACTAGCCCCTGCGCAGGCAGGCATGGCCAGCCCGACGAGGGCGTAACTGGGCGCAGAGCGAGCAGGAGGCGCGTTCACCCAGCGCGTTCCACTGCTCGCAAAGGGCCTACTCGCAAGAAGGTCCCCCCAGCAAGCGTATGCCTCGATGCAATGGATCGCAGATGCCCCTCAGTGGATCCAGGCCATTGGCGAGTAGTTACTTGGCGAGTAGTGGAACGCGCTTGCCTCGCCGTGCGCGCGCCGCCGTGCACGCTGTACCAGCCCCTGCGCCGGCAGGCATGGCCAGCCCGACGAGGGCGTAACTGGGCGCAGGGAGAGAGCAGAGGCGCGTTCCCCCAGCGCGTTCCACTGCTCGCAAAGTGCCTACTCGCAAAAAGGTCCCCCAAACAAGCGTCTGCCTCGATGCAGTGGACCGCAGATGCCCTTCGGCGGATCCAGGTCATTTGCGAGCAGCTGCTTTGCGAGTCGTTGAACGCGCTTGCCTCGCCATGCGCGCGCCGCCGTGCACGCTGCACCGGGCCGTGCACACGCGGGCATGGCCAGCCCGAAGACGAGGGCGTAACTGGGCGCAGAGGAGGAGGAGGAGGAGCAGGAGTAGGAGGAGGATGAGGAGAAGGAGGAGAAGGAGGAGGAGGAGGAGGAGAAGGAGGAGGAGGAGGAGCAGGAAGAGGAGGAGGAGGAGGAGGAGGAGGAGGAGGAGGAGGAGGAGGAGGAGGAGGAGGAGCAGGAGGGATGAGGGGAGGAGGGGAGGAAGGAGGAGAAGGAGGAGGAGGATGAGGAGTGCGGATGATGAATAAGAGGAGGAAGGAGGAGTATGAGGCAGAGGGACGATTGAGGAGAGTAAGGGGGAGAGGATGATGAGGTGCGTCGTAGGCAGGAGGCTGTATGCGGAGGGAGGAGAAGGCGGAGGGAGGATGAGTAGGAGAAGGAGGCGGCTGGGGAGGATGAGATGAGGAAATGAGGCATGCAGGCTGAGGATTAGGGAGGTATGGAGGGAGTAGGGAGGCGGAGGAGATGCGCTGCAGGAGGCCTTTGTCTTGAGGTGAGAGGAGGGATGAAGAGTAGTAGGAGGGTGGATGATGAGGCTGATTATGATTGCTGCCTGCGGATGGAGGAGGAGGAGGGGGAGGAGGCGGAGGCGGAGGCGGAGGCGGAGGCGGAGGCGGAGGCGGAGGCGGAGGAGGAAGAGGAGGAGGAGGAGGAGGAGGAGGAGGAGGAGGAGGAGGAGGAGGAGGAGGAGGAGGAGGAGGAGCAGGCAGGGGAGGAGGCCGTGGGCGCCTGTGTGCCTCAGCAGGGCGGTGCTCGTGCGGAGGTGGCCAGGGCGTGGACCCCACCCTCCCTTGGGGGGAAGGAGGGGCCCACCCCGGCGCGCCTCTCCTGGAGTGAGGCGTACGCAACGTTCTCTTATCCGGTCCCCAGGTCTGCGGGGTCCTCGTCCTCCTCTTTCTGCCTCCTCGTCTGCGTCTTCCTGTCGCCTGGGAGGGATGGGCGAGAACGGTCTGGTGGTAGGGTTGCTTACCGACCTCCTCGTTTGGATGTCGCTGGCAGGGCTGTCAGGATTGCTTCCCTTCCCACTTGCGCTGTGTCGTGGTGATGTCCTCCCCGTCTCCTCCCTCCAAGCTCGCGCTGGGGAAAAAAAGCTGCCAGTGACACATCGAGTGTGGCATCAATTCGGAGTGTCTGCAGCAAAACGGAATGGGTAAAAGCAGTGCAACACGGTGGGTGGTATCTTGCCCCCCTGCGGGGACCACTTGTGACGGGGACATCAGTTGTGGTGTCCCTTGCGCTAGCAGCGTTGCATCATCAGCTCTGCAGGCCGTTCGATGAAAGTTGCGGATCCGCAGATATCAATGAACTTTACACGTCTTTTCCTCTTCAAGAGTCGAAGGGGGGCTTACTTTTGCGTTCCTTTGTCTGGGGCGGGCCGAACCCAATCTACTTCATCGCCTTTCCACTTCATGCCTCTGCTTCTTCCGACCGGCCTGTACTATTAGCCGTAATAATTTGGTCGGCGGTAGACATGGTCGTGGCAGAATTGCTTGCGTTTGCGGCGTCGGCGGCCGTTGTATCAGCACTGAGATCGCCTGCCACGCGGATCAGGCCCAGTCGCTGCGGCTGTGGGAGGACCGCATGCACACTGACGAGTCCGAGAGCGCACGGCTGTCGCGGCTACTGCGCAGGCCGGCTTGCGTTCACTGTGTGTGTGTGTGTGTGTTTCGACAGACCCTCGGCACGTGCGCAATGGGATCTGGAGCAAATTTGTTCGACTTCTCGCGCCACTGTTCACCCCTTTTATTTCCATCGACGTTGCTTACACGTTTCATTGCACGATGTGCGCTTGCAGTGAAGTGGGGGGCGAATGTAAGGAGGCCGTACCACGTGACATTCCATCCCTCATTTCATTGCATTCTGTTCTTTTGTTAGCCGTATTGCCTTGCGTACACAACCCAATGGTAATGATACACAACCTGCTTTTCGTGTGACTGTGAATCGGAAGTGCGAGTGGAAGTATCAGATGCCTTGCGATTGTTGATGTGCGATGCCTCCGCGCACCCCCAAGCAATAGTTGTGATGTCTATTTGCATCGGCTCCGTGTAGGATCAATCTGATTGATAAATGGAAGGGCTCCATTGGACTCCATAGAACTCCATTAGACTCCATTGCACTCTATTGGACTCCATTCGTCTTCATTGGAGTCCATTCGACTCCATTGGTCGCTGTTGGACTTTATTTTTCTCCGTTGGAGTCTACCAGACTCCGTAGGACCGACTTCGTTGGAATACCCACAGGACTCTATTGACCTCCATTGGAGTCCATTGGACTCCATGGGGCGCCATTCGAATCCATTGGTCTCTGATGGGCTTCAGTGGGCTCCAGAGGACACCAGTGGGTGCGGGCCCAATAGGGTCCCCCGATCGCTGAACGCGAAGCGGTAGCAGCGGGTTGCGCGCCCCGGGTTGGCCTCCACGCGGCCCCCGAACGTTGCGCACCATAGGCCACCCTTGCCCACAGGGTCCTTCCTCTACGTGTCTCAAAAGGAGCACGCGCAGAACCAGTATGTCCTTCTGTGTCCCCCTCGAGTAGCTCGAGACCACCGCGCGGTCTGCCGCCGCATCGCTCTGGGGACCCTGGAGGCTTTCTCCGAAGGGCTTAGGCGACCCGTCCTCCTCCTCTCTCCTCCTCCTCCTTCTCCTCCTCCTCCTCCTCCTCCTCCTCCTCCTCCTCTTCCTCCATCTTCTCCCCTCCCCCTCCCCCTCCTCCTCCTCCTCATTCTCCTCCCACTCCCCTCCCCTTTCCTCCTCCTCCTCCTCCATCTCCTCCTCCTCTCCTCCCCCCCCTCCTCCTCCTCCTCCTCCTCCTCACTCCTCCTCTCCTTCTCCTCTCCCCCCTTTCTCCACCGGTCCTCCTCCTCCTCCTCCTCGTCCTCCTCCTCCTCCTCCTCCTCCTCCTCCTCCTCCTCCTCCTCGGGTCGCCCACGGCCCTGGGGGAAACCGTGCAGGGCACACTCGGCGAGCACACTCGGAGGGCACACCCGGCGGGAGGGCACACTCGGCGGGAGGGCACACTCTGTGGAGGGCACGCTCGGAGGGCACACCCGGCGGGCCT